AGAGAGAGAGAGAGAGAGAGAGAGAGAGAGAGAGAGAGAGAGAGAGAGAGAGAGAGAGGGAGGAAGGGAGAGAAAAGGAGGGATGGAGAGGGGGAGGGATGGAGAGAGGAAGTGAGGAGGAGAGAGAGGAAGAGAAGGAGAGAGAGCAAAAATGAGAGCGAGAGAGACAACGAGAGAGTGAGCGAGAGAGACAGCGAGAGAGCGAGAGAGAGAGAGAGAGAGAGGAGGGGGGAGCAGATTCATTGAATTTGAAATCAAACGCGATAAGTTAAAAAAACAAAATAATACGTTATATAAATTGAACGTGAAGATAAGTAAGAATGTGGTAGAAATAGAATCGTTGCTACGAGATAACGACTAGGTGATTTAGTAGTAATGAAGCGAATGCAAGAGAGACCTTCATTAAAATTAGCGACTTTATCGTTACCATTATAATTTACGTCAGCAATGGTTCTTTGCGCAATTGTGTGTGATAATTTTAAACTTACTGAGTGAGCGTGACAACGAAAGAAATAACTTATTTCTTGCACGTATGTTCAGTTACAAATAAAGTTCGGTGTGTACCGAGCGTGATTTCACGTGGCGTGTACACGACTATATTTACATGCAACTGGAAAATTTTGGTACAGATGGATGTGTATGGATGGACACGGTAGTTACACGACTCGCCGATTTCGACTGAATGGCACGCGCTGGACGAAAACTATGCATCACAAGTCAATTGACGTTCGGGCGAGCGGATATTTTCCTTCCCGTGCTGGATTTGCGCGGTGGAAATCTTACTTCTGTCGCGTATATCCGACGGAAAGTCCTTGCGCGTTGGAGATTTTGGCCACACTCTTTCGACTATCCATTTCTTCTAACCACTGCATTATCGCCATCCGGAGTGCATTACGGAGTTGCATTACGTCACAGGTGCGGTTATCATGCAGTTCACACGAGCGACAAACGTATGCTGGCACAATAGCAGAAGATTCGCTAGATACAAAAATATTCATTAAAGAAACAAGTGAATATTCAGAAATCATCAAGTCGCTTCCTCAAATCGCTAAAATTTAAGGAAAAACTTCTTTTAGCATCCGTACCACAAGGTAGTTGCAAAGCGCGAAATGGCCGTTGGCTCTTGAACACGACAAAAATTACAATTAATTTGACCAAATGGAAAGAGTCGTCCTCGGACGAAATTCACGACGAGGAAACGCGCTCACGAGACTAATTCAGACGACGATAGTATTGATAGTACGTGAGTCAGTGAGGAGCTTTCTGGCGAGCACGTGTCGACGGCACGTTATAGATTTTGCGAAAATCCATGGTACGGATTAACGATAAAGGCGCATACAAAATTAAATATTTTCTACATACATACATTCCGCGAGCAAAAAATTTCGCGACCTAGATAAGTTGAAAGAAAATGATTCACAGAACATTATGATGCAATGATCATCCGATCAACTAATTGCTTTACTTTTTTAGCTTTAGTTGGGCGAGAATTAGTTATTAGTCTTTCTCTAAATTTATATCGCTTTTATGCTGGTGCACGAATATTGAAAGGAACTTTTTCCTTAAGTTTCAGCGCCTTGAGGAAGCGACTTGATGATTTCTGGATATTTTTTTATTTCTTTGATGAATATTTCTGTATTTAGCGAATCTCATGCTATTGTGTCAGCGTACGTTTGTCGCTCGTGTAAACTGCACGATAGCCGCGGCGTAATATAACGCCGTCGGTTGGCGACGCGGTTGGAAGAAACGGATGGTTGAAAAAATGCAGCCAAACAGTTT